AGATAACTTACTTCCACAGGATGACTTAGAAATTAAAAGTTTGGAATTTCAGTTTGATCAATATTATACTTCAACATATGAATTACAATGTACGCATAAGGATAATTACATATAAATTAGAAATAAGGTATTCTGAAATCACTGCAATCGATGGTTTTGGTCTGAAAAATGGATTCATATTTTCCAAAAATAATTTGTCATTTTAACTTTTCATTGCTATTCCTGGACAATATTTTCAAAATCTCAGCAATGCTGATGGGACAAAATCCTTTCTGCCCAGACTTAAGACAACTTCATTTACCAACAAACACATGTGAGAAGTGAAGATGAAGGACGACACCCACCCAGGAATAGGAGGTCTCCAGGGGGCAATGCAGACAGATTTTCTCATTGATACTAGACAGCTCCTTTTACAGCCCTTATGAACTGTCTGACAGAGATTAACTGGAGCTGCCTTGTCTCCCCAGCATCCTCACAGGTCCTGGGCAGAGCTGTTTTCCCTATTTTACACCAGCTAGGACAGCAATGTGGCAGCATTGACTTTTGCAATTCCATTCATTCAATCTCTATTGTCTCTGATACGATTCATGCACTATGGCTACAGGGAAAAAAGTATCTGGGGACTGTACAAGCTTGGAGAGTTACAAAAAAACTCAGCTCCTTCTGCAGTTGGAGAGCAGAGGAAAGAGTAGAAAAAGTGTGACTAACTGTTCCTGAATATATTGGAGATGTGAACCAGAAGAGGAGCTGTGTTACTGTGTCTGGGGAGTTCATAGATCTGTGATTCACAGCATTACGGGGCCCATTTGGCATGCAAAAAGAGAGGATGATGAAAGGAATACTTAGTCATGGAGAAAAAGCTAGAGAGAACACACAAGGATGCTAACCCCTGGGAAAGAGAGCATACTCAGGTGTGACCCACAGCTTGGGAAAGGGAATAAGGTATTTTTTATTTTCCTAAAATTCCTTCTTTCTTTGGTAGGTAGAGTACTTGAAGGAGTGCCCTCCATCCCAGCCTTGTAAGAGCACCATAAGCTCCAGTGCACTGTTCAGGCCCATCTCAACCCAAGAGGATAGCACAATGTTCTTCGAGCTTTTGCTAAAACCAGACAGCCATATTCTCTCATGATCATATTTGTTTCTTCTCTCACTTTAGAAAGTGTTACTTAAGGCAGGCAAAAGAGGAAAAAAGGACATCCCAGCTATGCTGTTAGAGGGCACAGCGTACTACACTCAGCATGCAATTGCTGAAATCACTGCTGTTGAAACGCTTGCAGATAGATAACGTTTCTGTTAAACTTTCACCTCCTTGAAAATAGTTGTATTCGAAGTAGGGATGAAGGAGAAAGATTTGCCTTAGGGATCCCCTTGTCGACTCATGTGATTGCTGTTGAAAATGGTCTGGATCTAAAAGACCACAAAGGTGTTTGATGTTCTTCATATATCCTTCAGCAAAAGAACTGGGAGAACAGTCATTGCTCTTGTGCGTTTGCATTTTCAATAACACACATGAAACAAGCTATGCCCTGCCAGTTTGGAACAAGCTCTGTCCTGCCTTGATATACCCATGCTATGTCTCTTTTACTGGTATGTGTGGGAAGAGGACGGGCAGGAAGGGGGAGAAATGACACTTGTAGGGGAGAAACAGGACTGGGACTAGGGGGAGAAGATAAGAGAAAAGGAGAAGAGGAAATTAACTGGTTATCAGAAATAAGACTCAAAAAATCAGAGACAGGAAAAGGGGATGAGATAGGGAGGGAAAAAGCAATGGAGACAAAAAAGCTCTATGAAACTCATGAACATAGAAATCAGGCAGGCAGGCATGAAGAGAGATAACAAAGGAAGAAAAAAATTAACATGCAAGGAAAATCAAGAAAAAAAAAAATTAACCCTCCTGTCAAAACAGAGCTGAAAAGAAAAACATGGGGTAAATCAGACTAGTAAGATGGCAGAAAATGAACCAAAGAGGAAACGCAGAGACAGCAACACAAGCTGCTTTTAATATTGTTCATGGGAGAGACCTTCCAACAATTATTTGTTATGCTGTTGCCCTGTGGTCACAGTGACATGGATGACATCTGACTGCAGAGCAGAACTCTGAGCAGCACATACAAGCAATGGGGAGCGATGGCCACAATTGTGATGCCAGCTCAGAGTCTCCTGAGTGGGAGAACGATCACATAGAAAAATCTGTGGTAAAGCAGAGAGGTGAACTTTGGTGTACTGTCTCCTTTATGTCAAGACAGGCTTCTGCCTCTCCTTTTCTGCCATGTTTGATGGATAGATCCCTCCTCCGCCACCATCACTCCCCTCCAGTTTGGACCCTAGCCCAACCAAAATCTAGGAATAAGGGGACAAGAGCATGGTAAAAAAGTCAGTCTGCTGCCACCAGTATTTTTCCAGCACAGAGTACAGGCCCTTTTTTCCACTGTGAATAAATGACTCCAAATTGTTTTGCTACCTTCCTGGAAGGTTAGGACTACCAGTGCATCTGAGAACATACATCCAGTCATGAAATTAATTATGGCCAACCAGTGCAACTCAAAATAAGGAAAAAGCCAGTACAAAGCTTTCAGAAAGATTTCCCATTCACACAAGCAGAAAAAATGAGGGATAGTATCACTGGGAAACTATCAATTTGCGGAATGCTATCATATCACAGTGACATGACATGGGTGTCTTTACTGCATCCATTAAAGCTCTTATATGCTGTTCTGAATCACCAGGTGTCTCCAAGGCCCCGTGGTGTGAGCAGTGCCTTTGCATGGTACCCTGCAACAGTGCTTCAGGGTTGCTAAACCACCCGCTCACGCTGTAGGCACACACTCGAACACACACGTGACCTCACTGTTTTTAGCAACACCATTTATGCCATAAATAACTAACTAACTATTCACCCAAGTGGGGGCTTATCAGCAGTTAGGCTAAAAAAAAAAAAAAAAAAAAAGGAGTGTCTTCTTCTACCTCAACCAAAAAAAAGGTTTGGAGCTGAATCCACAGCCCTGTCTGGGTCCCACTGGTGTACCTGCGTGCTCAGAAAGCACGCACCGCTGTCACCCTTGAGTGATCCAGAGCATCCATACTCTGAAAGAAAGCGGGCAAAATCAGCCAGAGCCTGTCGTCCTTTATGGTTCATCTTACGTCAATGAAGTTGAAATGTAAAGGGCAGGGTTTGGTGCAAAAGCTGCAGGTAAGTCTCACTGGTATATTATTGTTTTTTACATCAGATTGGTCATGTTCATGCTTAACCATAACCTTCCAGCTGAAACATTTCTGGTTCCTTTAAAATATGAGTTAATAATGACGAATCACAGGTAAGGATGATCCTAAATTAAAGAGGCACACTACAAGGCTTTGCTATAATGAAGGACACTACTGTTATCTAGAGACACAGCACAGCCACATTTAATTTTTCATTTTGCAAGTTAGCCCAAAGAAATAATAATTACACTCCCCTCAGTCTCCTTGAATGGTGCCATCCAGCACATGCCCATCAGAAACAATGAATACATACATCAAGTGAAGAGTAAGGGTAATTTCCTGTGGTTGTTTTACAAGCAAGGGATTAAACTGTGACTACCCTGCAGAGTTTAAACAATGTGCTTCTAACAAAACTGATGCCATAGTATGTAATCAGAAGTCAAACAGTAAGTTTGACATGCTTAATGCAGCATTCATATGTAAAATGTCTGCAGTGGAAACAGCCCAGCCTTCTAATTTCAGCCTTTGTTCTAAAATGAAACCTCAGGCCAGGTGCCTCTGAACACGTGCTGAAGTCCCTGTCAAAGGATGGAGATAGAATTTCTCCATGGTAATGACACAAAACTCAGACTGGCTCTGTGCATGCAGAAATGCTCTGGAGCCCATCAGAAGACAGGGTCTGTTTGAGCCTGTTATTTAGCACATAACTGCCACAGGTGACTGCATGGGCAAATCTTGAATTCTATATCAGTTATCCTACCCATTCTTCAATTAACTAAACAACTCTACACGGTAAGAGACACTTACTGCATCACTGGATGTGTTCCTATGTTAGAAATAGCCCATAGTCATACATCCACAGCTTTCCTAAATGAAAGTAATTGGACAGAATACGGCCATGCATTTTAACCCATCTTACTGGGTTAAAAAGACGGGATTGCTGCACACCTGGATCTCAGTAAGGGAAGCACAGGGGATGACCCACAGAAGAGCTGGGGCTCCAGCATTTGCAATGAATGACCAGGCTGATGTGTGAGAGGGCAAACATCATGGGGACGGGAGGGATGACACAGCCCGGGGATGGGAGGCAGGGGGGGAAGCTGGAGAAGGGCTGGGAGGGAAGCAGAGGTGGGGGACCAGAACATTAGGAGTGGTGCAGGACAAAACAGAGGCCAGAGGTGGAAGGAAGGGAGGATGGTGTACCGGGAGCTGCAGGCCAGCATGTAGAGCTGCCAGGGAGGAAGGAGCAGCAGGCAGCGTGGGCTGGGAGAAGCTGCAAGGCAGCTGGGCAGGCGGGGCTAGCTGCCCCCCCTCCCCGAGCCAAGTCAGCATCCCTGCGCTCAGCGGGCAGGGAGCTAGCAGCCACAGGCATCTGTCTGTGCCCACCTGGGGGCAGGATCAGGGCCTCTACATATGCATTCACTTGAGGATGAAGTCTATTAGCATTCACCCAGGCCATTTTAAAACAACCCAGTTACTGAGAGTCTCCCCGAGTAGGCAGTGAGAAGCCCAGGCTCCACACCACAACCATCACCGCACTGTGAGCATCAGAAAGGAAGCAAGACTTTCAAGGTTCAGAATAAAAGATTCAGCTTACAGGGTTATAAATTATTTCTGTCTTTGAAGGCTGCAAGCTTTGCTCAAGTCTGAAAGATATTTAGCAAATGCTCACCATTCATTAAAAAAATAACAATAAAGGCAACAAAACTTCCCACATTCGGTATTCAGTAACAATTCTTTTGGAGTTTAATCTGCACACCCTTACTGCAGATCAGTGAATATCAAAAATGGATTGGTACCTGCTTTGTAAGTCGTCCAGGTGCAATTTGCCTACATAATGGGTGGCTGATGAGACAGTGATGATCCTAGCATTGTGACTGTGCGTTCCTGATTGCTTCAGCTTTTTTTTAGGAAGTGTCCCAAGTAGTTCAAGCCGAAGTGCTCCTCAAACCCATCCTCCGTCTTCCTTTCAGGGACCAGCATCACCCCAGCTGGAGGAGAAAGTAGAGGTAAAAGCTGTTGATTTATTTCAGAGAAGGAGGAAACTAGAAGGAGCATGGATCTCCTGCTGCAGAGTGTAAACACAGCATTTAGAGCAATGAGTGACTGGTGATGGCATGTGAAGTGTAAAGCTGACACTGATTGATTCCTGCCAAGAAAAATGTCAAAACCCCAACTTCAGTTTCTTTATCTAGAGAACAGATAGACTGACTCTCTCCTTCGCTCCCTCCCTCCCTGCAGGATTGTGAGGATAAATGGGTTAATTTGTGAAAAGTGTTTTGAAGAAATTAAAAGCTGAGTTAACCCATTGCTGTTGTGCCAGAATTAAATGATGGAGATCCACAACAATTATTATTCCATCTACAATAGGTGGGATCTGGGTGATCCTAACAACATTCTCTCCATCAAAGAGCTCAGAGCAGTGGAGACAAGACCAGGCTAAGTAGCAGACCTGCTCTCCCAGACAGCTTTCCGCTGAGTCCTGGCTGGAGTTTAAAGATCTGTTGAGTCTTTGTCTGAAATCTGCAACTTCTGTCTCACTGGTGTGGGTGAGAAAAGATGTAGTAAATTTACCCAATATATCTTAATTACTGTGCTTACAAGCAGCTGCATATTGAAATGAGGTTTTGGATGCTTATTTTGGCAATATTTTTGCATATATTTCTACAAACCACAATTTTCAAACTCACTGCTTAAAATAAGCATCCACATCCCTAACACACAATGTTGATTTCAGCATCTTGCAGAGAATCCTGAGCTCGTGCATAAACTATATTGTGTACTGAGGCTGTGGGGGGGATAGCTATCCCACTCAATTATAATGTGGACTTGAATGTTATAAAGTATTCTTATTTTATTAAATTTAATTATCATACAAGTGGACCTGACCTTTGTAATTTAAATGTAGATGGACGTGACTCATGGAGAATAAAGTTGTAGGCCATTGTCTTCTCTGTAAAACATACAAAGGTGATAGAGCAGAAAGGCCACCTCTGCCCAAAGATGTGAGAGAGTGTCAGCTTCATCCTCACGCTACTTCGTATGCCCATTAAAAACCCTTTAACATTCCATTTCTTGACATCAGACCGATGATGGAATATTAAGTTATCACAGAATCACAGAATCACAGAA